CTCAGCTATTTTGAGAACTTCAGATTAAAAAATAAGAAATTCAGTTTCCCCTCCCTTTAACCAGTTTCTCCAATAGTTTAAACTGTTTTCCCACACCAAATAGCTTCTCATTTCTATTATCTTCTAAAAATCCTCTCTGGGACAATATGCTGATCTTGCATCTTTTAATGCTAATGACCATATGAATCAGGATCCTAACCTCATAAAGGCAAATGATTATTTGAAATACAGTAGTAGCCAAAGTAAGAGTATGTACCAAGAAAAATTTTGAGGATGCAAATACAGCAAAAGTTAGAATGAATTATAAATTCATTCATTGAAGAATTATTGATTTTTGAGGGAGACCAGAAGGTAAGAATCAAATGCAGTTCTAAGTTCAGAAGGGTCACAGAGGATACAAATTATGAAGCTCATGATCCTTAGGAAATCTACTCCTGTAGTAGAGGAGTAACAAACTGTTCTAGCAACAGTGACAACTAGATTAGATTATCAGGCTTTATTTGGTTTCCTCTCTACTGCAAGTAGGTTTTATTAAATGAGATTAAACAAACAACAAACTCAGGAAATCTACGTTCTGGGCCTTAAATGCGCACGTAATTACAGTGCCTTAGTGTATATAATCAGGCTGAGACACAAGTGAGCCAACGATGCTTCTCTGAGAGAAGTATCTCGAAAAATGCAGCGGTCCCGTCATCTGCACGTTTGTACGGAAAGGGTTGGGGAGGCGGTCCTTTAGGTGCAGAATACAATCCGTAAGCGAGGGAGGGTGCTGACAAGGATGTAGGGGGCAGCAATGGCAGGGCTGGCAATAAACGCATCCCCACGATTCCAGTGAGCTACGGTTGGGGAGGGCTGCCGGCGACGCTGGAAGTCCAGGTGAGCTGGGTGAAGTTCCGGGCTGGCGCACCGCGGGGAGGCGCGGCCCACCGGATGTGTCCACGAGCCTTCATCCCTCTCCCCGCCCCAGCACCTACCGTGGAACTGGAAGTGGCCGATGCTCTGGCCCTCAGTGTCTCGGGCCGCGGTGCTGCTGAAGCTGCCCCGCAGCGTCTTACCCTGGCTGCCCGGCGGCCACCAGCAGCAGGCGAGGGCCACTGCCAGCAGCCGCAGCCCCCCCATCCCCGCCTGCCCCCCGGCACCCACGCTGCGGACCCTAACCGCCAGCGGCTGCCAGTCCCACGTCGGCAGCAAGGGAAGGGGGAGGAAGGTGGAGGACCCGCGTCGCGGACCCGCCCCCAAGAGACTGACAGCCAATGAGGCGGGCCCCTTCGCCACGGACCAGGAACATTCACCAATCAGAGTGTGAAGTGGGCGGGACGTGCACAGTGCGAGTCCCATCATTCCCCGGCCTGTTGGCTAGTTCCCGCCTTTTTTTATGGAGAATCGGGAGGATGTTGCTTCAGGATAAGGAAAAATTATTGCCCTCGTCGTCCCAGTGAGTGGTGCCATTGCGCATGCGTGGGAGCGCCGGCACGAGCCTGTAGGGCTTCCCAGAGTCCTATGGGGTTCCGAAAAAACTAAGAAACACATGACGGAACCATTTCTGGTGAAGAAAGGAAAACCGCAAAGCCCTAGGTGCCTAAGAAGCCTATTGGACGTTTCCACTTGAATGTCTCAAAGATACTTAACTGTACGTATCCGGTTCAACGCTTGACACCTCCAACTGATTTTTTTCCTCCTAGGTTCTCTGTCTTATTGAATTATGTCATCATACCGCAGGCCAGACAGCTGGGAATTATAGCGACCCCCTATCCCTTAACAGTGCCACGTCCAGTCAGCTCTATTCAGATGTTTGTTATGGCCTCTTCCGGGCGGTGATGGTCGGAAGCAGCAGCCCTATCCTATCCAGGCCAACATGATCTCATCTTACTTGGGCTATCTCAGTTGACCTGCGTACAGTCTCAATTTTCTCCCGTTGGCTACACACAACCCATCTTTACCATAGAGCCACGGAAAGCTTTGGGAAAAGCAAATTGACTGCGTCACTTTACTATAAAGATTCTCGATTGCCTTTAATACATAGCCCAAACTCTTTAGAATATAGCTTTCAAATCTCTCAAAGCTCCATCTCTTGACTTTTTTTTTTTTTTTTTTAATCTCCATCCATACTGAGCCACTGTCAGTTCGGTCAGTTCGCTGAATACTCCAAGTCCTCCTCTTTGGGCCTGTCGCACTTGCAGTTCCCCCTAGCTGGAGTTCTTGTCTTATTCTACTACTCAACCTCCATATCACCTTCCATTTTCTACTTTTCTACCCCAAAGCTCTTTTAGAAGCCTTTCTCAAACCCCCAAGTTGGTGTTAGATGCCGCTGGAATGGGAATCCCTTACTTCTCTACCCAAGCACTTACCACAGGTATTGTACATGTCTGTTGATTTATCTGAACCCCCTACTATACTGTCAGCTCCAGTTGGTCAGAGACTGTCTGTCCCCATGGAGTAGAAGCTTAACATTATTTCATGAATAAATGCATATAAATTATTTTCACTCGACAACCACCTTTTATTACATGTAAGCATGTTCTCACAACAGACCTCACCTTTTAGGAAAAACCTTGGGGGAATACTTCCTATCATATAGCCATAATTTTCTGGCAGACCAGGAATAAACTGGAGGTATTAATTAATATTATGAGATTTTTAAAACCTACATTATACTTTAATTACAAAAGCAATTCATGCAACTTAGAAAAAATTCACAATCAAAAGTATATGAAGTATACTTTCCCTGCTTATACCTGATACCCAAAGGTAACCCTTGTTAATAGGTTAGGGTGGATCCCTTCAGACATGCATTTACAAACATATGATGGTATTTGCCAACCAAGAACAGAAATAAAATTTGTCCTGGAAGAGAATCAGAACATGGGCCTTGAATGCTGTGAGGGCTCTTTTTCTGTCTCTTCTCTCTTCTCTTTGTTATCAACTTTGTTTTTCCCTCTCACTGAAGACAGGTCTTTTGATTCCTTCATTCATTTGAATGAATATGGCCACCAGCAAGTCCAAAATTTGTAGATCGTAGCGTTCAAGAGCAACCAGACTATTCTAGAACGCCAGTCCAACTCCATATCCCAGGAAGAGGCTTCAATTGGCCTGGGGTGAGTCAGATGCCCATCCTGTGGCCTGCCTGGAGTGGGTCAAGTTGGGGAGATGGTAAAGGCGGGAGGGGAAGTCTGGTCAGATAAAACCATAAGTATCCACTACAATAAATTTGATTCTCATTTCATGTTGGTACATTCTTAAAAAGGCTACATTGTATTTAAAAAGTACAACAATTTTAGCAGACATGTATATTGTGTCCAATTTTTCATTACTACAAGCAATGTAGCATGAACATATTTGTGTTTTTCTGTAATCTATATTATATATCATGGAATTTGGGGATCGTAGGGTATTTACATTTGAATTTTGCTTATATATTACCAATTTGCCTACCAAAATGTTGTAACAAATGACACTTCTACATATACTAGGCATTCCCATTCTTTTTAGGCTCTCCCAACACAATTAGGTTAAAAAAAAACAAAACATCTACAAGATATTTATTCATGTATACAACAGTATTTACTGATGGTTTATTCTGTGCCAGGCTTGGTCCTAGGGCTTTGGGATTATATCAGGAAACAAAGTCCCTCGACCCATGGAGCAGGAGAATGAGCAAGGAATTTAACATAAATGTTGATAATTGCTATGGAGAAAAATAAAGAAGGGTAAATCGGTTTGGCACGGCTGGGTTAGAGTTTGCTATTTTAATTAGGGTGGTAAAGGAGTAGGGTGACATTCAAGCCAAGAACTGAGGTAAACTAGGCAGACATCTGGGGAATAAGCATCCAGGCCCAAGGGAAGTAGCATGCCAGGCCAGTTTCAAGGAAGAGCAAGGACAGTGGCTGGGGTAGATTGAGCAAGAGGGAGAATAGTAGGAAAAGGTCTAAGGGTAAGATCTAGGGGACATGTTTACGAGGGTTGTAAGCAGCTTGTGCTATCTGTAATAACAATAACAGCAACAGCAAAAGGTCATTTTGAAATTAATTGTGACCTCCCATCTCTATACTTTGCAAGAGAGCTCCCCAGGAATTCTAGCTCAACTGGTGCATAATCTGTGGAGATCGCTGCAGTATAAGAATAAAAAGAAAGTAATCGTGGACAACTCCGACCATCTGTCTATCCAAGTAAAGCCTAATTCATGCTGGTGACACTTGCCATGGAAAACGTTCCGGACCCTACTTTCCCAGACACACCTATTCGCCCCTAGCGAGCCAGGCGTTGGCTGAGAAGAGCAGTGCCTGAGCCTGCGCAGCCGAGGAACCCGCCCAGCCCGCCAATGGGCGGGGATAAGTCGGCTACGCTCGGGAAGCCGCTTCGGCCTGCCCCAGTGAACGTGTCGGGAGAGGGGTGCGTCGCAAAAAGTCGCGGTGGAACTTGCCTACGGTATACAGGCTTGTCGCTTTACGGTTCCAGGCACTGCTGAGCTGGGAGATGTCGGCTGCGGGCCTTGTGGAGCCCTTGGGTCCTCCCAGCAGCTTTGCGAAGCGGGTACTGGTGACCGGGGGTGCTGGTTTCATGTAGGTAACAGCGTCGCTGGCCGAGTAGTGGCTCCCCAGAAACCCCAACCTTTTCCTGCGGCTCTGCTTGCCCTTGGTAACCTGGGACCAGCCTTGGTTGTCTAATAGGGGAGGGTCTTAATGCACGACCGGAATCATCTTACCTTCTACCTGCTCCTTCCTCGGCCTGCGAAGACCTAGATCCTTTGAAACTGCGACTTCTTTAAAACGCCTTCCTCCCAAAGCAAAAGTGCTGTGGTACTATCCGCCCTGCTGTCTCGCCAGAGATGCGCCTGTCACCCTTCTGATTGTGCCCACAATTGCAGTAAGCTTCTCACCGGCTGCCGGAACCCCCTCCCCACCACGATACAAAGGCCTTGTACATCTATCTAGGCAGCAAAAAACGATTTTTGGAATATGACAAGGCATTTATTTAGTCAGCTGACTTAAAAACCCTGTTGGTACTAAACTTTTGAGGCCTCTTTTCCCTTTTACACGTACCACATTCATTCATCAAAGTACACTTCCACGGTACGTGCTCAAGGCCACGACTCGCCCCCTCCCCCCTCTACCCTAGCCCTTGTTCCCGTCTTTTGCCTAGACTACTACTGTAGCCTCCTGATTGGTCAAACTGCTTGCACTCTTGTTCCCCAGACAGAAGTCAGTATTAAGTAAAAGGGCTTAGAGTTTTACTCCAGTGGTTCTTGTCAGACTTCGAATAAAACCCAAACATTTTACTGTATCTTGAAGACCCTCAAGTGCCCAAGCATTACTTTTCCAATCTGTTCTCCTGCCGTTCTAGCCCTTGCTTTTTCTGTGCCTGCCACACTTAACCCTCTTGCAGTTCCTGGAACACAGGCTCCTCCCTCCTGTCTTCAGGCCTTTGCACTTACTTCCCCTGTGCTTAGGAGCTCTTTTCATCACTCAATTCAGATGTTTACTTAGACATCACCTCAGAGGGGTCTTACCTATCTAAAATAGCTCCTCTCCCTACTAACAACTTATCACTACCTAAAATTATTTTGTGTTATTGTGGTTAGCTGCTTACTGCCAGCATCCCCACTTTAGAACGTAAATTGAATGTAGGTAGAGACTGTTGTTTACTCAGCATCTGGAAGACTGTCTGACTCATTTTATAAATGTCTTTAGTAATTGTTGAGTTGATAAATGCATGAGTACAAAGAAGAATCTCTCCCAATGTCTAATGGAAGAAGAGGAACATGGGACCCCTCCCCCCACCCCCTATCCCCTTATCACATTAAGTCACCTCTTCTGATCTGACAGTGAGTGACTTGGAGGGTGGGTACCAGGCAGGCAAGGTTCATTTAATGAGCATTAGCACAAAAAGATGGTACTGGTGTGAGATTGCTAGTCCAGAAAGGGCAGTCCTTGGAAATGCTGTGAAAGGGCTCAAATACAAACTCTTGAGTTCATAATTTGGTCAAAGGCTGCTTTTGTTCCTGGGAGCCCAGTGTGTTTGTGTATATGGTAAAATCTGGTGGATCATTTCACTGAGGTATGCCTCTGGTTCCACTTAAGGGTCCTCGGAAACCCATCCAATTCAGGATGGTTTCAGCTGTTTGTTATTAGCCTTGGAAACCTAGGTTTAGTCTAGGACACCCCTGCCCCCCCCCACCCCCAATTTACACCATCAAATTCTTGTACCAAGAGAACAATTGCAGTAGGGTTATTATGAACATAAACAACTCCTATGCTCATACTAAATTAATTTTTACATAATTATACTTGTCTCTGAAAAGGCACATTATAGTTTCAGTCCATTTGCACTGACCACCACTCATTGTATATTTATCATCCTGCTTTATTTCCACACTCAAAGCATGTATGGACAGCATCATTTGGTTAAATTAATTTTTTCTTATATTCAGGACCTGTCAATTTTCTCTTCTCCATAGTGTAAAGGGAGTGTAAAGCTTTGTATATCAATACAGTTGAGAGAGTTCGTGAAAAGTGTGGTGTGTGTATATTCAGTGTAGTTATATTATTCCTCTTCTCTTCAAAAATGTGAAGGTATCTTTGACTGGTTTCCTAATACTTGACAACTTAGGGTAACATTAAAGAGTTTGGGAAAGTTAAATTTTCTACTAACAAGCTATACTTTTTTAAATTTTTTATAGTGCATCACATGTGATTGTCTCTTTAGTAGAAGATTATCCAAACTATATGATCATAAATCTAGACAAGGTAAGTTTTAAAAAATGAGCTGCATGCACTGAAACTTATTTATATTTTTAAAAAGTGTTAGAATCCTGCCCTGCGGATATTTTAGTTTTTATATAATTTTAGCAAGTTAGGGGCCTGTATAGTCATGTGTTCATGCCATATTTAATTGTACATAAAATCTTTTGAAACTTTTTTGTTTATTGTGCTACCCCATAAAGTAAAGGTTTTAAGGGCAGTATTTTTATATAAAAAAAAATCTTCACCCTAACTTTATTTAGTATTATCTTGTGAACATTACCCTTTTTTGGAGTCAGGATACTCTGATTATTTGGTTTTATTATTTTATAACTACTACCTCATGGAAAATTATATATTTTTAAAATAAAAATGCAATTAAATTAATTTAGTTTCGAGAATTTTTTTGTAATAATTGGAGTCTCTAGAATCTCAAAGCCATGACTGGTAATCACTGATATTTTGACTTTAAACACATGATGCAATCAGTTACCTTCATTTCATAAAATGTAATAGTAAAAATGTATAGTCAAAGAATAACCCATAAGTCTTATGAATTTTTACCTGCCTTACCATCGTGGGCAGTAATTATTCCCCCATCTTATACTGATTTATCAACAGCTAACTCAGGAAAAAATGTAATGAGCTAAAATATGTATAATACCGGTGTAATTGTTTTCAATCACTAATTCCTTTTCAGTAAGGAATGGTAAACTTTTCTAGCCACCAAGGGCTGGAGACAAATTGAGGCAGGAAAATTTTTGAAAGGAGAGGTTTATAAAATGTGATTTTTTTTTTTGTATTTTGAAAAGGTAACAAGCTTACATGTTTTTTGCTTGTTTTTTTTTTACTTTTAAGATAACAGAAACTTCTAAAAACACAAAGAGTGAACACTTTAAGAAGACATGTTTTTATATTACAATAAGAGCATCTGTAGTCTTTAAAATAAATTGATATCTTATAGGAAAGACTATTAATCTTACTCTTTGTGTTGAACCTTTACCCTCACTCCACCTTACTTATTTTAAGCTGGATTACTGTGCAAGCTTGAAGAATCTTGAAACCATTTCGAGCAAACAAAACTACAAATTCATACAGGTATGAAAGTTTCTTATAATTATATAATTATTATACTGTACCGCTTTAGTTATTCAGACATATCTTCCTACTTTACAAACTTGTGAAATATGGATTTGGAAAGCATGCTAATTAAAGATCTTTTAGTTTCCAGTAGTACCACACGCTGTAGAGAATACTGCTTTTATGTTGATACCATATATAAAGTTACATGTGATGTTTGTTGCCTTGGCAGATCTATGAGTAGCTGATTGAACTTACATGGTTTGTGAGTTTTAGGTCGTCATTATCTTTCTTAATAAGGCCTTGCTGAGATTTATTTATTTTTATTTTTTATTTTTATTTTTTTTAGCTGAGCCATCCTGCCACCTGTTGGCAGCTAGGCTCAGGCCAGGAATCGAACCAGTGACCCTGTTGCCCAGAGCTCGCACTCTTGAGCGAGCGCTTAAACAGCTGAGCCACTCAGCCAGCCAAAAGACTTGCTGGGATTTAAAATATTGGTATAAAAAGTGGGGTGTTACTCAGGCCAGCAATAGCCAAAAAGGCCACCATACAGCCCATGGGGTAGTCTTCTTTCATGAAAGTTGATTGTTTGGCTCTGGAAGATCGATTCTTACTAACCACTCTTTGAAGAGTTTAAAGTATAAACCAGAGAGCTAGATGATTCATTTGCAAATAAATTTTTTTTAATTTTTTTTTATTAGTTTCAGGTGTACAAAACAGTTCAATAGTTATACTTTTTACCTCTCACAAAGTGACAACCCCTTCCCCAATCCACCATCCCGCTCCTCTCTCCCCTGCAAACGGAAATTTTAATATCAAATGCAACTGTTTGTTTTACAATTTGTGGTTTTTTAAAAAGTAATTCTAGAAACTCTCTTTTTAACCACAAATCTCAAAGAATATACTAAGCAAACATTTCTTAATTCTCTTCCATATGAAAGTGTTTCCTTCTGTCACCAAAGTATTGTTGAGAATACATATTTTTAGAACTAACTATACATATAACATCAAAAGTACTCATAAGTTTACTTAGTGGTGATTAAATATGTTTTTCAAAATGTCATTCCAGTTCTTGTACTTACTTTAAATATATTTCAGTAATGGTTATCTCAAACGTTTAAAAATACGTTTAACATTTTTCCTGTTAACATAGTGACCTTAGATTGGCAAGAATGTCATTTTTTTTCTTCCAGTTTTTGTAAGTCCTTTATAGTATGTATTCTGGATTCAAGCCTTTTGCCACTACCTTTTTTTCAATGTGTGGTTTGCCTTTTCACTTTCTTAATGATATATTTTGATCTTAGTAGTAGCTGGTGCTCAATAAAACACTGTTTTAGACATTTATTTGTAAAAAAACTATATTGAATTGGATATCATATTCTAGGATGCTAGAGAAATTCATCATTACCGTATTTACCTGACCCTTTGGTCGAGTTTTCAAGATATTCTCTATTAAACTTGAGGGGGGGGAGATTAATTCTTTTCTTCTTATCATTTTGTTGTTGTTCACACAGTAAAATGGTTTTTATGGATGGGGATACTGAAACAGCTTTTTCATGCTTGCTTTTGATATAGGGTGACATATGTGATTCTCACTTTGTGAAACTGCTTTTTGAAACAGAGAAAATAGATATAGTACTCCATTTTGCTGCACAAACGCATGTAGGTAAGCATTGTTTTATGTTACAGTTACGATAGGCAAAGTTTTGTTTCCAGTGGCTGACTAGCCTGAATCAAAGTCCAGTAATGGGGCTGAATAAGTTGGTACTTAATATATGTCTTTGAAAGAGCATATACCAAGGTAAAACAAACCTGGGGTCACTCTGTTGTCAAGATACTTGCCCTTTTTGGGTCACTTTTATTCGGTAGGTTGAAATGTAACCTTGAATGTTGTTTTAAAACTTTGAGTTTAACCAAATTCAGGATAGTGATTTCTGATTTCTTCTGGGGAGATGAACCTTTAAAATGTGTTTTTTATGTTGTTTTTCTTAAGCTGACTCTTGGCTACGAGGTTGAACATTATATTATTATCTATACTGTTTTGTCCGTATGATAATTTGTCTAACATTTTATATTGTGAAATATAACATATATTCAGAAGAATTTAGAAGTGAAGTTAAATGAATACTGATATAGTGAATGCCCATGTAACCATCACGTAAACAAAAGATAAAATGTTGCTGAACACTGTTTAGTTTAGTAGTATTACTATTGCCTTAACCTGATTCTGAAGTTACAGTTTCCCTTGGCTTTCTCTACAGTTTTACTGTCTATATATAGTATTTATTCAAAAACAGTAGGTTAGTTTTACCTGTTTTTAAATTTTATAAAAATGAATATATAAAATAACATGTAGGGTTTTTGGTGTTGCTTTTCATCCATATAGATCTATCTATGTAGTTGGGTAGAGGTGTAATTTGTTCACTGTGACATACAATATTCCATTCTACGTGTATACCACAATTTGTGCCTCAGTTTTACTCTTGTGGACATTTGGACTGTTTACACTCTAGGCAATTGTGAACAAATGGTCCATAGAAGCATACATTTTTCTCAGTATATTACTAGAATCATAAGATTTGCACACTTCAACATTGAGATAATGTCCAACTATTTTCTAAAATAGTTGTACCAATTTCCACTCCTCTAGGAGTGTCAGAGACCTGTTGCTCCAGATTTCACCAAAGCTTAGTTTTCTCAGACTTTTCCATTTTTGTCAGCCTGAGTAGTGTGTAGCGGTTTCTCATTGTGGTTTTGATTTGATTTCTCTGATTACTGTTGAAGCTGTGTACCTTTTATGTATATATTGGCAATTTAGATTTCTTCTTTTGTAACATGCTATTGAAATCTTTTGCTCTTTTTAAAATTGGGTTATTTACTTGTCTTCTCATTGATTTGTAGCAGTTTTGTATATAAATTCTGGATACTTTGTTATGTGTGTTACAAATATCTTCTTCCACTCTGTGGCTTATCTTTTCATGTTTTTTCTAGTTTGTTTTGATGAACAGACCTTAATTTTTATGTAGTTGAATTTATATATCTTTTCCTTTATGTTATGGTTAATATGTTATGTTATATCTTTATGTTTGGGTCTTAAGAAGTTTTCTCTTGTCCCAAGGTCATGAAGATAATCTGTATTATCTTTGAAAAGCTTTATAGTTTTATCTTTCACATTTAGATTTGTAATCCATCTGAAATTGATTTTTATGTACAGTATGAGATAGGAGTCCAATTTCTGATCTGGAGTTAGATGCACTACAAGGTATCTGATAGGAGTCCAATTTCTTTTTTTTCTATTTGTATACCAGTTGGATCTCTACCATTTATGGAAAAGTTCACCAGTTTCCACTGCCCTGTCATATATCAAGTATCCTTATATGAGTATCTGCTTGTTGAATCTTCATTTGTCTATTTGTCTCTACCTGTGCTGATTATGCTGATTACAGAATTTATGGATTAATTATAGTGCCTTGATATCTGGTAGAGCAAATCCTTCTACTTGGTTGATGATAAAATAGCTGTATACTCCTTCTAGCAATTATGAATTGCTTATCAACCTTTGCTGTTGTCAATATTTCATAGTTTTATTTTATTTTCCCCTGATTACTAATGAGGTTAATTAAAAACCTTTGCACTTGTTTATTGGACTATCCTCCCCCTTTTCTTATTGGTATGTCTTCTTTGGAAAGTTTCTGTTTACGTCTCTTTACCATTTTCCAGTGGGTTGTCATTTTTATCCTTACAGTTTTTGTAAGTTCTTTATATATTCTGGGTTCAAACCTTTTGCCACTACCTTTTTTCAATCTGTGGTTTGCCCTTTCACTTTTTTTCTTGGGGAAGTGGGGGTGAGGGGATGAAGAATAAAATCTTTATTGGCCCCACGTTAAATTATATACATAAACTCCACTCCCCTACATACTGGACAGCTTAATGTTCCTTATGTTTCATTTCTTCAAATACATCTTAAGTTGCTTATTTACACAATAGAAACAATGTCCAATGTCAAAAAAACATACTTCTCTAGTTTAAAACTATTGGAATTAGTCTCAGAAGAGCTCACTTAACTGAACTTGATATTAGATCTTTCTCAGATTATTCTGTGACATCTCCCAATTTTGCATGATGCTTGCAATACCCGTAAGCTGTCAATCAGTTCTTCTGGTCTTTATTTAAGGTGTGATGAAGAAAGAAGATGGAAGTGGATTGAGATAAAAAGGATAGTTTTGTATATGTTCATGTAGTGACACATTCAACACATAAGTGTGAAAGAGGAGGAAGTACCTCTGCAACAAACTGTCTCTGCTCTGGGTTATTAGCTCACCCCAGGGGCCTTGACTTTCTCATCTCTATGACAGACTCATCCTAGAATCTTTCTGGTTCTTTTTTCACTCCAATGTTCTAAAATTTGGTTTTAATTTAAGATGCACAACCTGAAATGCCTTTTCCCTTTCTGAATGGTGTCTTTTATTCAATTGAGGTTCTTCATTTAAATGAGGTACAGGTTATCAACCTTTTCCTTTAGGATTAGTACTCTTTCCTACCTCCAAGATCATGGAAACATTCTCTATTACTCTATTCATAAAAGTTATAGTTTTGCCTTTTACATTCAGATTTCTTCCCCATATCAATGTCAGTTTGACTCAATACCATTTATTGAAATACTCAGCCTTTCCCCCTGCCACCTTTGTTGTAGATGAGTGCCCATTCATGCATGGTTCTATTTCTGGGCTCCTGTTCTGTGCCATTGGTTTTGGTCTATCCTTACGCCATTACCACACTGTCTTAATTACTGTGACTTTATAATAATTCTTGATACAAGCAAAGCAAACCCACCTTTTTGTTGTCCCAGAAAATTATCTTTGACTTTGTTGATCTTTTCTATTGTGTGCTTGTTTTCTACATAATGAATTTCTACTCTTAAAACTTTATTATTTCATTATTTCTAGTTCAAGATTTTTTTCTCTATCTTCTTGTGATAATATTTAGCTTATTTTCAGCTTTTCTCTAATATGTACATTTTAGACTACAAATTTACTTTTAAATACCACTTTACCTGAATCCCACAAGTTTCAAGTGCATTACTTTATTTTTTTCAGGAATTGATTTCTTTTTTCAATCCATGGGTTACTTAAAAGTGTATATCTTATTTTCCAAATATATATGAATTTTTTGGTTACCTTTTTATTATTTCTAGCTTAATTGTATTGGTTTGATGACATGCTGTATGATTTCAGCTCTTTGGGCTGAAACTTGCTTTTTGGCTTAATGTATGGTCAATTTCTGTAAATATTCCATGTGTATTGTAAAGAATGTGTACTCTGCAAAAGTTGGGTACATTACTTTTTACACATCCATTAGGTTAAAGTAAGTTGGTTAGTAATTGTGTTCTTCAAATCTCCTGTGTATTTCTGGTGAATTGAACCTTAGGAAGTGATCTTTCTTCCTTGATGATGTGGGCTGCATTCAAGTCCATTTTGTTTGGCATTAATATAGTTGTGTCACCTTTTGGTTATTCTTTTTATGATATGTCTTTTTACATAGTTTTACTTCTAGCCTCTCTCTGGCTTTATGGTTTAGCTGTGTGTCTTATAAACAACTGGTGTTTGGATTTTTAAAAATTTTTTTATCCAGTCTGACCATCCTTAATATATTTACCGTAAGTATTGAGTTCGTTGATATATTTGGATTTATTTCTACCATCTTACTATGTTCTTCCTATTTTTTCTCACCTGTTCTGTTTCTTAAAAAAAAAAAGGTTTTTAAAATCCTTTCTTGCCTTTTTAAAAAATTCTTTTTAAAAGCACCCCTGCTGGCTTTTTTAAGGGCTTGACTAAGGAACTTTTCTGATTCCATTTTTCTCCCTCTACTAGTTTGGAAGCTATATTTTCTGCTTATATTCTTTCGGTGGTTACCCTAGAAATTATAACATGCATATTTAGCTTATCAGAGTCTAAAGACCACAAAACATTTGCCCGCTTCCCAATAATTTCAAGGTCTTAGACATTTAACTCCACTTCTCTATTCCCAACTCTTTTTATGTAGAATAGAAGTCTATCTTGTTGTTTTTTTCAATTCCACTAGAAATCATTATTTCTATTTTATATAGTCAATATTAATTTGTATTAAGGGTTTGCAAAAATGATGCTACTCTAATTATGTTACACATTCTTCATTTATTAGCTGGAATCCCTAATAAAAGCAAATTTTCCTTACAAATTATTGGGTTACCCTGAAATTGAATTGAAACAGAAAAGTAAGGTAAAATGCTTGATGCCTTTTGTTTACTTACTAGGTTTTATTATAATGAATTGGTCTTCTAGCATCCCTTTTCTTCTTTTTTTTTTAGTATTATTATGAATTCATAGATTTTTTTACACATTTTATTTTTGTTAATCCATTGTAGTTATTATTATTTATGTTCAGATTGACCCACCATTGGCCATTGAGAGCCTCTTCTAGTTGTTTCTTAAGTCCTTTGTGACACAGCCTTAGTAGTCTTTGATAGTCATCTCATTCTCTGGTGTGGCAGGAGGCTCATCTTCAATTTTTCTTCCCTTGATAGGGAATCAGCCCCTTCTCTACAGAAACCTAGCTCTTTTGGTGGCAAATGCTATTTACATTACAAGTGCTTGTTGCCTCTGATTGGACATATTTTCTAGGCTTTTTCAGTGGACAGAAGTAGGGACTCTGTATTTATTTGTCTATTTATTTAAGATTAAATATATTATGAGTTTATATTGAGATGTCCAATTTATATTCACAGTTTTTTTAAACCTCATTGACCTTAACATTTGTATCTTTTTTCCCTTACCCTAGAAACCTTGGCACTCGATAGCACCATCATATTTACTCATTTACTTTATCCCACAACACACACAGTAGTGTACGAATAATAATACCAACATTATCTCTGGCAATTTTTTAACTGAAAATTCTTTTAAGAATTGCAGGGGAGTGGGGGGCTGTTCTTAATTAAGTAGTTTCCCACTGGGTATATGGTCAAATTATTTTGTTTTAAAAATAACTTGAAATAATTCTTCTCTGCATGGTTATATGACCAAGTAAATACACAGACAGACTCATCGGTCTCCTTTTGCTTTTGATTTTTAGAATTGCTTTTCTTCTTTGTATTTTTTTTTCAATTATGTAAAATATGTACATAGGTCTAAAGTTAAATTTACCAAACAAGGTATATTGAGAAAAGTCTAGTTTTTATCTCTGTTCTTTCCACTGTGTTCTCCTTTTCCCTCTATAGATAACTTTAAATGTTTTATTTTACAGTTTGTCTTTCCTTTTTAAAAAAGATGCATAATCTACTGCCCTTTTCAGAGAAATGGTAGCCTACCATACATATCTTTCTCCATCTTTTTATATAATACGGTATACCTTCGGAGATCATTCTATAACAGAACGTAGAGATAGTCCTGTTTCTTTTTATTTCCATTGGTGTGGATGTACGATAAATGGACTTATTTCCTACATTTTGCTATTTTAAATAGTGCTGTAGTGGATAGCTGTGTACGTGTCTTTTTGAATATTTGGCATTTGCTGTTGGGAAAGATTTCTATTGTAGAAGTAGGATCGCAGGGCATATAAGTTTGCTCGGGCGGCCATAACAAAATACACAGACTGGGGGCTTCAACAACAGGCATTTATTTCTCAGTTTTGGAGGCAAAAAGTCCAAGATTAATGTGCCAGCGTGGTAGGCCTTTTGCTCAGGCCTCTCTCCTTGGAGATGACCACTTTCTCATTATGACCTTACATGACCTCTGTGTGTCCCTAGTTTCTCTTTTTGTGTCTAAATTTCCCCTTCTTTTAAGGACACCAATCATATTGGGTTAGGGCCAACCCTAATGGCCTTATTTTAACTTAATCACCTATTTAAAGGCCCTGTCTGCAAATATAGCCACATTCTGAGCTACTGGGGGTTGGGCTCCAACATGAATTTTGAGGGAACACAATTCAGCCCCATAACACTGGGTTAAAGGGTAAAAGCATATGTAATTTGCCTAGATATTGGGAAATTTTCTTCCTTAGGAGTTGTAAACATTTTGTATTTTCACTCCCAATGTATAAAGTATCTTTTTCTTCATAGACTCACCAATAGAATGTATTGTCATTTTTTTTAACTTTTTCCAATCTGATAAGTAAGAAGTGGTATCTATGAGTTTCTAATCTGTATTTCCCTTATGATCGTGTTGAGCATCTTAAGCTTAAGGACGTTTTTATTTCTTGTCTAAACTGTTTATGTCTCCTGCCCATTTTACTATAGGGTTGTTCCTTTTTATTTTTTATAATTTCTTTATATGTTGACTATATTAACCGTTTGTTTCTGATTTTTTTTTTCAAATATTTTCCCCAGTTTGTCATTTGCCTTTTTACTTTGTATTTTTTTCTGTTTTTTTTAACCATGTAAGAACTTTTATGTAGTCAAATTTATCAATTTCTTTTCTTTTGCTTCTGTATTGTGAGCCATAGTTAGGAAAGTTCCCCTCATTCCAAGATTGTATAGAATTGATTCTTTAAAGTGAATTTGTCTTAAAATAATTTAACCAGCACTTATTGTTGTTTTCAGCAATAACAGATTAAGCTGAAAAGCCTACCCCTCTATTAGCAGAAACTGGAAGTTTCAAAAAAATTTTAAATTTAAGAACATTTTAAATTTAGATGTTTCATTTATTTTTTCCTTCATGGAATGAAAAGTGTTTCCTAAAATTTAACACTGATAGTTTTTTAGATCCTAAGAATTTACATGGACTATGTAATTTAGGCTTAAAAAAACCATAAATAGAAATGTGTTTTTATGTTATTTTAAAAACTATTGCTGCTGTGAATGAAGAGACGTGAATAGAGCTTTTCTGAATCCTGAGTCTACCCTTAGGTATTTGTTTTGTCCCTTGGGTGGAATCATTTTAGCTTTTTCTCATTTTTTTAGATCTTTCATTTGTACGAGCCTTTGAATTTACGTATGTTAATGTTTATGGCACTCACGTTTTGGTAAGTGCCGCTCATGAAGCCAGAGTGGAGAAATTTATTTACGTTAGCACAGATGAAGTATATGGAGGCAGTCTTGATAAGGTAAGCTTAAAAAAAATGAATATTTCACCTACTTACCATGGAGCACATAGCAAACCTGTCTTGTTAAAACCTACTCTGGGCTTTTTTCATCCTCTGATTATATACACTTGGGGGACTCTCCAAAATGTTATTCCATTGTATCTTCTGTTCAAATAAAATAATGCCAACCCAAATGGCAGCAGCAACCTAGTCTCAGTACAGATTTACATTTAATTTGACTGACAGTATTTTGTGAGAGCAGCAGATCTAGTCTTTTTGTCCCCACCTTACATGCATGATGAATGACAGTCCCATGGGACAAAGCATATGTTAAGTTAGGCTGCAGCATACTGCCCACTCACCTTTCTTTCCCACTCATGAAAGAATATTGGAGTGTCAGGGAGCAAGTGTGGCATCCTAGAAATTGGAATCTGTTCTCCTTTTCTAATCATTTGTAAATATGATATATTCTATGCAAAAAGATGGCTCCTTGTTCCAGCCTGTATTTTTCATAGTCAGTGTTTGCAGTAACCTTATTTGTTTTATTTACTGTTTTATTTTTACCAAACCACATACATAGTGTAAAAAATCAAGTAGTAGTTTGAAAACAACTTACATGGAGAAAAAGCAGACCCTGATCACTTTTCAATCCACAATTCCACCTCAGAGAAGCAACCATTTTCAATTCTCTGTGCAGTTTTTATGAGGTTAACTTATTTCTTCTTGTACCCTTGTCCCCTACTGTGTCAGACATGACATAGCCAGAGTGATTTTAAAAACATAAGTGAGGCCTACAGACCCAGAAGCAAAGGATGCGCAACAGAGCTCACACTTTGGGGAATATCTCTCCGCCACATGTGATCAAGAAATTGCAACCAACAAAAACATACTAGAGAGAAAACTTAAAAGTGTAATGTGGAAAGTCAACTGATCAGAGAAGATCTTTAGTTCTTTGGAAGAAGATGGAAAAAAGAAACTTCTTTACAAAATGGTATCAATTCCTCAGGCAGGCCTGGTTTATTGAAAATGAAGAGCAGGAATACATTAAAACTGAGAAAGGAGAAAGGTGGTCCCTGGTCAGCAGTGAGCTCCTATCCTAGCCACAGTCCATCCTCCGATGTTCCTGCCTTGTATAAAACAGTAATAGTTAAAGGTGTGAATGAAGCAGCCGTCATTGGTGTTCTTACTAAGAGAAACAGTGCACACCATCAACAGATCAAAGCCGCACATCTCCAGGAAAAAGACAAGCCTCCGGATGAAGCTCTGAAGAAAGCCCTACAGGTCACCGCAAGGACGTCCCTTCAGCTCTACTGAAAACTTTAGCCCGGTTGGATGCTCGTGAACTTTGTGCTGCCTTGACTTACATGAAGTGAAAATAGAAATACAGAATGCATATGGAAAAATTAGGAACTTCAAGAAAATTTCAGAAATAACGATAAAAATAACAAAGTCTCTGTTTTGAGCTTCACAGACGTAATTTAGGTGAACAGTATACAATGGGAACTTTGTTTGATAAAATAGAAATTTCACATATTCTCCCCCCCCACCTCCCTGCAAAAAGTAAAAAACCAAAAAAAAACAACCCAAAAACAACAACGAGATCATGACATTATTCTTCGCAAAACCTGTTATGTCTTGACAGTGGCCTTCAGGGTTCCACATGTTCTGGCCTCCCTCTAACTCGTCAGCCTCACCTGCCATTTCTCTTCCCTCTCACAAAGCTTCTTGTAGCTCCTTTGAACACACTTCTCTCTCTGGTCCTTTGCACCTGCTGTTCCTCTCTGCCTCCTGCCTTCAAGAGTTGTTGTAAACTTTAAAGAAGTTACTACATATAAAGTGCTTAGAAAAACTCTAGGCACATACAATAGTTGGGGTTCAATAAATGTTTCGTTTTTTAAATGTGGTGATTACGATTTTAGGTTTATAATATGTTTTCTGACTTTTCTACTTAGAAAGTATGTATAATACTTATTTTTTTTAATTTATCTTTTCAAAATTAGGAATTTGATGAATCTTCACCCAAACAGCCTACAAATCCTTATGCTTCATCTAAGGCAGCTGCTGAGTGTTTTGTACAGTCTTACTGGGAACGATATAAAGTAAGAACTGATTTAAAAAAACTCTCCAGTCATTTGTATTTGGACTTAAAACTCTAAGTTAGCATTAGCAACATTTCATTTTTCGAGTAAAGGACATAGATTGAGAATAGTTATATATTAAGGAATTAAAAAAGCTGATTTCTTATAGTGTGTGGACTAAGTAAGGCCTACTTCTTGCTCAGTTCATCATTTAAAGGAATGCTTTATATGTATATTTTTTCCTACTTTAGTAACAGATAAAGTGTTATAGCTATAGTGAGAGGCCCTGTTGGAATATCCTGGTTTCCAGGAACCCTCTGAGTGAAGGAAGACAGGGAGGGCAGATTCCCTTATTGGCTGCACGGCCCTCTCCGCATGAGTCACCACTCTTGGCTCTCATGAATGGGAGGTAGATTTCCCCAGGTGGCCCGGACAGTGTCAGTGTGGGAGCCTTACCCAATCTGAATCAACTCGAATCCCTTAGCATTGGCTTTCCACTGGTCTTCTTTTGGAGTTATTAGGGACTGGGTCAGAAAGGCCAGCCAGAGAATGACTTATGATTCTCTTGACTTATGTGTTCCAGTAGCATTGGACCTTTTCTCTTTCATTACGTCTTTTTATTTGTAAGGATTGGTACAATAGAGTAAGCTAACTTGAAGTTTAACATCTAACCAAACCCAGAGTCCTAGAGGTGCTCTCTGAAATAATCAGGGGAAATTTCCTTATTTTTCTTCTATTAAGCCTACAAACCTGCCTTCATCTATATTTATCCTCCCCTTATCCCAATAACGAAAAAAATTCCTCTTCTTCCTTATGGGGCCTCTGCCTTTATCTGAATCTCATCGTCCCCTGTCTTTTCAGGAACTTTACATTAGAAAAAAATCCCTTCTCTTCTTTTCTTAAGGTGTGTGGAATTACTTAGCTAGAAGTGCTCATATTTTAAAACTGCTTATCTTGAGATAAGCATTATTATTGGCCCTTTCCATTACCTTAATATCGAATACTCTTTAAGTTTCCAGTTGTCATCACAAGAAGCAGTAATGTGTATGGACCACATCAATACCCAGAAAAGGTACATTTTACTTCTGAATTTATAGTACGCTTTAGTGATTGTAACTTATTATTTAAAGAAATCTCTCTTCAGTTATTTGTCCAAAATTTAAGTTGTAATTATACAAAATTTGTAAATGCTATATTGGCCACGTGCAACTCTCATCAGGTTTAGAGACTTGAGCTTAAGTCTCAACCTGATAATTCACCAGCTGGCATGACCTTAGCCCTTTGAGCATCATCTTTAAATTGAGGAGTAATGACAATATTAGAAAGGATTTTGAAGGACCCAGTGAGACGATATATGTGAAGATGCCTTGTACTTTGCAGGATCCTCAAGCATTATAGAGCACTCCCTTCACTGTCACACTGCAGTTTAGACTCCTGGTTTGCAGTCAGACCGATATGCCAGGGTATACAGAAATGTAAAAGCTAGTTAGAGAGCGACGCAGAAAGCTTGCATAGAAATCTGTCTTACAGTCAGCTGGCTTATGGTTCCTCAGCTCCTCTTTATTGTTGTAGATCTGATTGTCTTCCAGAAAGTAATACAGGTAGTGAATAAAGAAATGCACTTAAGAGGCTGAAAATGCCTCTGTGGCTGGTTCTGTACCACTAAGCCCAGTTTTAAGTCACTATTGCTCTCTCGCTCTCTGCCTAAATTTAGAAACTGGGTTTTTTACTTCCCAGCTAGTTGCATTAATGTATTCACCCAACAGAAAGGGCCATATCGTGATCTGCTGGTATTAATGTCTACTTTGCTTAATTTTTGGAATATCTTTAGCAGGTTTATTATAAATTTAGTAATTTATTTCACCCTGTTTAACAAATTTTCTTTGAATCCAGTGGCACTGGAATTTGCTTTTTATCAATTTCACCAGCACTTACTGGGTAGGTGCTATATGTAAAGCAATAAGTAAGGTAAAATTCCTGTCCATATAAAATCAGCACAAAGGTAAGATTTGTAATGAAAGCAAATTGTTCACGAAGACTTTTCTGAATTTTCCTATGGTTTAACTGTTTTATTTTCATATTTTTCTAGCAGATAACTTGTTTTGTGAAATAGGAAGATATCTTAGAGTTCTTTTACTTATCAAAGTTCTAATAGGTTTCTTCTTGAAATCCTAGTAACTGGAATATATCCATAGGTATAATTCTTAACAATAATAATGTTTTAATATCATGATGAGTTCAGGTTCATATTAATGAGCAGATTTCCAAAGTCTGAAACGATATTTAAATATTCTTTTAGGTTATTCCAAAATTTATATCTCTACTACAGCACAACAGGAAATGGTATGTTATTATTTACCTTCATACCCATATGTTTTTCTGGTATGTTGATAATATTTGGTGATAGCCTTCCTTGAAAGTCGTAAAGTCTTAGAGTTGGAGGCCATAGAATTGAATGTCTCAACAAATTTAAAGAATTTCTAGTATAATCAATGTAATAGTTTTTAAAGTAATTATAATCTATTTCATCTTTATAATTTGCTTACTAATTTTAATTCTTAAATGATTTATTCTAAAACTTTGAGTTATAGCATAAAATTTATATAACTACTTTTTCAGAGGATTTATTTAATTCATAGAACTATAGATATTTCTTCAAAATGAATTTAAGGCATAAAATCGATGAATTAAGTATTCCTCAGGGGTCACTTATATGTTTATCACATTCCATCTGAGGACCCTCAGGAGGTTTGGAGATCACTCAGGAACTGTGGATGAAATTTAGAAAAGTCATGAGAACTTGTATTTCCAGTAAAGATTTCTATGGTTGCCATGGGAATTGGCTTCCCTGGTGTTGTACCCAGTTCTTGCCTTGGGATAACTTACTTTTTTACATTTTATGATTCCCTTTTCTTTAATCTTTTTAGCTGCATTCATGGATCAGGGCTTCAAACAAGAAATTTTCTTTATGCTACTGATGTAGTGGAAGCATTTCTCACTGTCCTCAAAAAGGGGAAACCAGGTGAAATTTATAACATTGGAACCAATTTTGAAATGTCAGTTCTCCAGCTTGCCAAAGAACTAATACATCTGGTATGTATATGTTGTGAAAGGATACTATTTTCAAAATTATCACTAAATTAGTGACAGTAATCACTAATTTATTTATTTTTTTAGCTGAGCCATCCTGCCACCTGTTGGCAGCTCAGCGGCAGCTCAGCTTGGGCGGGACTCGAACCACTGTTTCTCAGAGCTCGCACTCTAGAACGAGCTCTTAACCAACTGAGCCACTCAGCCGGCCCAGTAATCACTAATTTAGTCAAAGTTAACAATTTACAGTTTAGTCAATTAAAGTGAATGAGTAATAAGTAAAATTCATAATTATGTATACCATATATATGCTACAATATGTCACTTGAAATTATATCACTCATTTAACAGCTTTTAAGGAAAAAAAATTCTAATACATTAAAGGAACATACACAATAAAAGACATACCTCAATTTCAGAAATATAAAGTGTGTCCTAGAATCAAGGAACAATGATATATAAATAATCATAGTTATGAGTGTATGTATATATTAGTGAACATCAATTATACATTTCAGGATTTAGTAGAAAGGGAGACTGAGCGTGTGGAAAAAACACTTTTGTTTTCCTTTACATTACTCTAAGAATACTCTGTACTCCAAATGTGTGGGTTTTCCACACCAAGCAATCCTGACACCAGCTGGGTGTCCTACAGTTTAACTCAATTCTGATATTATCTACCTGGAGATAGCATCAGATCCCACAGGCTAAGGGATCAGTGCCACAGACCACCCTCACTTCACATACCAATTTTAAGACCTGCTTGTCACCTGTGCTTCTGACCAACCAGCTATAAATCAGATAATTTGCTAGAGTGGCCCACAGAACTCAGGAAAACGGTTTACTTTCTGGACTACCAGTTTATTACACAGGCTGTAACTCAGGAACAGCCAGATGGAGGAGATGCACAGGGCAGGGTATGAGGGGTGTGGAGTGTGTGTGCCCCTCGGGGCGTGCCATTCTCCCAGCACCTCCGTATGTTCAGCAGAAGTTCTCCAAACCATGTCCTCTTGGGTTTTTATGGAGACTTCATTAAGTAGGTATGATTGATTAACTCATTGGCCATTGGTGATTAGTTCCACCTCCAGCGCCTCTCTCCCCTCACCAGCTCTGAGGGGTGGGGGTCGAGTTCCATCCCTCTAATCACATGGTTAGTTCTCCTGTCAACCAGCCCAGATTTTTAGGGGCTTTCCAAAATCTCTTGTTAACATCAACTCTGGCATGGTTGAAAGGGACTTATTACATATAGCAAAAGACACCTTTGTCTCTGATCACTTAAGAAATTCCAAGGATTTTAGGAGCTCTGTGTCAGGAACAGGGATGATGACCAAATATATAGTTCTTATTACACATCACAATGTCACACTGAGTAATAACCAAAAGCCAAAAAAGTTATTTTCTACCACAGTATACAACATGTATTTTTTTTTAGTAGAATTTGGGTTATATAGTATAGAATGTGTTACTAAAATGCTGCTCATTTTAGCTGTCTCTCCCACTTTGAAGAGGCTATTTGTCTTATCCTTTGAATCAGCTATTGAATACCATTGTTATTCTCTGGTCTCATTTTATAATTTGACTCAAAAAGCCTTCTCCGTTTTGACAGATCAAAGAGACCAATTCAGAATCTGAAATGGAAAACTGGGTTGATTATGTTAATGATAGGTGAGTAACAAGTTAAAGCATTGGGGAAACATTGTAAAATCTTAGGTACTTATAAAATTATAAAATATACGGGCTTAACCAGAAACTTGTTTGTTAGTTTTGAGTTTTCTGCTAAAATATTTTTTCCTAATTATAAATTTCATAAGAATAAAGTGTAGCATTATTACTTACTAGCTGTGTGACTTAAAGAAAGTTATTGCCCCTTTCCAAGGCTGAGGTATCCTTGAGTGTGAAATAGGGAATGTAATATCTTGCTTTTAAAATGTGTTGTATGGTTTAATTATAATGTATGAAAGTACCCAATGCAGGGTGTGGAACACAAGAGTCTTAATACGTTTATGTGTATTTATTTATTCATTCATTAAACATTTAGGTGTGATGCACTACATTCCTATCTAGACTGCGGCTGTAATAAGGAAAGGATAAACCACAGAGAGGGTTAGGCATCTGGGATTATAGATGGGATTATAGATGATTTTTTAAAAACATACACTTTATTTTACACATTTTCTATAATCATGTCATCAAGGAGAATTTTTTAAAGAAAAATTTGAATTGTGATAAAGATGACTGGACACACATTTTTTTCTTAGTATTTAAATCTGTAAATATGTATCCACAATGTCATTTTAAATCTGTTCTGTTTTCCAAGACCTACCAATGATATGAGATATCCAATGAAGTCAGAAAAAATACATGGTTTAGGATGGAGACCTAAAGTGCCTTGGAAAGAAGGAATAAAGAAAACAAGTATGTTATGTTGTGAATTAGTCATTTGGGAGGGGGTTCAGAAAAATTTAAAGAAAAAATTTATTTTCAGAACACTACAAATTCAGCAGAATAGTGTGATGAATCATTTTTACTTTTCAAATTGTTACATTTAATATAGTTGTAGTAATAGTAATATATTTCCTAAGCATCTTGAATTTCATAGACTAACTTTTGATCAGTCTTCCTATATCTTATTAGTATTTATCAGATCCCTATTTCATTTATTCTGAGGTGCACATTTTTTTACTTTTTTCATATCCTTGAAAGGTATGTATTTTACAATCACTAGTATCTTAAAATTATTATTGCAGCTGTTTTATTTTTTAGTGGTATGTTAAATAATAATCCATCTTAAGATTAGTGGCATCTTAGATATGATGAAATATAGACAGTTTCAGCCTCTGAGTGTCTTGAGTCTTTTTATATTGAAACAAACAAGTAGAAAGCAAATTGACTATGTACAGAAATATTTATTAAAATAAGTGTATATAAAGTCTGTGTATATGTTAAAGTTCTATTTAGAAATGTACTTATGAGAAAAAATATACCAAAACATAGAAAAAAAGTCCTGATTCAGAGCTTAAAATACAAAATACTAAAGTTGAATTTTGAGAAGATAAACTATCTTTGAAATTGCAAATAGAATCATTTCATATATTAACAGAAGGAAACTCATCTCATCTCACTATGCCTATAAATGCAGTATTGCTACATTTACATGAATAAAATATTGCACTTATTTTCTATAACTTTAAAACCACTGTAAATGAGTCACCTTCCTTTCCCCCTAAACTCCTTAAAATCAGAATGTCTTAAACACTTACACTAGCAATTTCAAAATTGAAACACTTTTGAAGTTAGAAAGAAAAAGTAGCTGATTTTTAAATCTGAATTAAAATTTAGTTAACTGGTGTTTAGTGCTTTATTTTTTATTTTTTTCTTTTGTTTTTTCCTATCAGTTGAATGGTATAGAGAGAATTTTCACAACTGGAAGAATGTGGAGAAAGCATTAGAACCCTTTCCAGTACAGCCACCGTTTGTATAGTCAGGACAGTTTTTGGAAAAAGAAGAAAATTATCCTACCTCGACAACTGATATGTAATCAAGGGACCAAATGAAGGGACCAATTTTCATTCGGAATTAGATTTGTGACTTTTTGTACAAAATTCAAATGCAATATGCCTCAATCTTTAGAAGAGTTTTAGTATGAGCATAGGATTTAACTTTCAAAATTCTTTCAAAAAACTTTTCTCCTGACAATTAGGAACCAGTAGAGATAGAAAGACTCTTCCATAGGAGTGGACTGGGAGGGGCGATCTCCTGGTTCTCAGAACAAGGACAGTAGCAGCTCTGGGCAGCCTACAGCTCTGCTGCATTGAGCTCAGTCAGCTTCCCACCTTTCCCATCTCCCAGAAGGTCTCTAAGTTTTCAGTTTTAGTCAATATAGGATAAGCCTATGCCCTCGTTCTATGAAGGTATGGTATTGTGCTACAATTGCTTTAAAAATGGAACAAAGTCGAAGCACTTTTTAACTTTTGATAATTTTGTAAAACTGATTAAGTTAAATGTTTTTTAAAGAAGGACATAGTTTTTGTATTTTCATAATCAGTCATTTAACTATGTATAACCTTGTATCAGAAAAATGTCATCATGTATTTACTGTTTAAAGTGATTTTATTTATAAAATTATCGGTATTTTAATGTATTTAATATAGAGCATCGCTTTTTTTAGTAATGTAGATTTTTATTTCACTGTAGAAAAACATTTAAAATACTTGATTATGTATTTTGACTTTAAGATAATTTGAAAAAGTAACTGATTGGATACTGCGTTCAGAAAGGGGGGAGAGTCAAAGGTGATGCCCAGCTTTCTGGCGACAGTGCATGACTGATGGCTCGTTCTCTCTGTGAAGTGGGAAGCAAGGTCAGTGACTCAGAGGTGGCTGAGGGCGGGATAGGAATAGAGTGAGGATCTTGGGGCTGTGGAGATTGGGAAAAGAGTAAGCAGATCCAAAATTAGAGGATGTGCCAAACAGGAGTGAAGCACAAACTGAAGTTGAACACTAACTTCAGAATTCTGAGATGTGTAGAAATAGTTAGATTGAGCTAGAATAGGACACAGTACGAATCAGGAGGGACAGAAGGGCCAGAGCGTGAGATTAGCTGCAGCGTTGCTCCATGGGTCTTAGTTGTGTAGCGAGAAAATGCGTCTTGGAGGTAGCCTGTAGCTCTAGAGAAAATGGAGACAGGGAGCAGGCATAAGGGAGGGAGGTGAGCGCTCAGGGAGGCTAGGAAGTTACAGGCAGAAAATGGGACCAACTGAGAGCAAATGATCTTCGGTGGAATTTGGTCATTGAAGGTAGATGACAAAATAAAAGCACTGTGTCATTTCTTCTGTGTCATTTGTTCTTGCATATATTTTTGTGTCTACTTTTATATCCAATTTTAATATACTGTATGATTTACCTATATTGTTAGTCTGATCTCAGGAGATGACCTTAACGGGCATTCAGAACATACGGGAAACCAGTTTATTTAAAAAAACAACAAAAACCCTTATGCAAAAAAATGTCAAAAAAATTAATGCTCTACATCATATGTCATCAGGGAAATGTAAATTAGAACAGCAATGAGATACCAATACACACCTATTAGAAAGGCCAAAATCTGCAACACTGACACCAGCAAATGCTAAAAAGAATGTAGAGCAACAGGAATTCATATGCATTGCTGGTGGGAATGCAAAATTCCCACCACTTTAGAAGACAGTGTGGCAATTTTTCACAAAGCTAAACATACCATACAATCCAGCAATCACATGCTTTGGTATTTACCCAAAGGAGTTGAAACTTATGTCCACACAAAAACCTGCACAAAGATATTTATAGCAGCTTTATTCATAATGGCCAAAATTGGAAGCAACCAAGATGTCCTTCAGTAGGTGAATGGATAAATAAACTGGTACATCCAGACACTAGAGTACTTATTAAGCTCTGGAAAGCAATGAGCTGTCAAGCCATGAAAAGACAAGAAGGAAATGTAAATGCGTATTACATAGTGGAAGAAGCCAATCTGAAAAAGCTACATAGTATATAATTCCAACTATGTGACATTCTAGACAAGGCAGAACTCTGGAGACAGTAAAAAGATCAGTGGTCGCCAAGGATGGGAAGGGAAGATGAATAAATAGAGCACAAAGGGATTTTAGGGCAGTGAAAATACCCTGTATGATCATATAGTGATGGATATATGTCATTATACATTTGTCCACGCCCATAGAATGTACAACACAAAAAGTGAACCCTAATGTAAACTGTGAACTTTGGGTGGTTAAGCTGTGTCAATGTGGGTTCATCCTTGGTGAAAAAAAAAAAGTACCACCCTTTCAAGTGGTGATAATGAGGGAGTCTACGCATGTGTGGAGATGGAATATATGGGAAATCTCTACCTCCCTTTCAATTTTGTGCTAAACCTCAAACTGCTCTAAAAAAAATAGTCTTAAAATAAGAATTCAGAGCAACTTTAGAAATAAAGAAGTTGGTTGAGTTATAGGGAAAGTTTTGGTCTCAGAGAGGCCTTTGAAAGCTAGCGTTCTCCTCACTTATTTTGTACTCAGCTTGCTGCTATCTGGCTTCCATTCCTCCTCTATCTACTGCAGGAATTCTCCCTGTTGTCACCAGTGTCACATACCTCTCCTGAGAAATGTCATCTAATACCATGGCTTCAGTTACCATCTTTATTTTTTTTTAATTTTAATATTTTTTAAATCTCCAGCCAAGACCTCTTTTCTGAGCTGATCTCCAGTTTAAAAATCTCATATATCCAATAGTCTACTCGATATTTGCATATTGATGCCTTTGGAGCACTTCAATCTCAATGTGATTCTAAGCCCCTGGTGGTCCCTGTTTTAATGAAACCTGGTAGTTATTCTTGGTATTTTTCTCCTCTTCATATCCTTTTCTTCCATCGTCATATCCCCCACCTCCCATTCTGGCATATCTTTTTGTTTTTAAATGTCATGCTTATACAGCTTTTATTATCAACTTCTTGTAATAGATGAGGATTTAGCTCTCTTGCATACCCCCTCAACTTTCATTCCCTTCCAATACTCCCAAAGCATTTAAACCACATTTAATTTTAATTGAGTATAATTTTATAAGTTTTGCATTATAGAGTCAAGAAGTGTACTATGATTATAATTCCTATTTTATAGTTTTTTTTTCCTGGAGTTAGTAACTGTCTCATTTTTCTTTTCACTGCTTTATGTACTTTCCTTAATTTTTCCATCAAGTCTTTCATATTACATTCCTTCCTAAAAGCTTGCATATTTTGGAAAATCCATGGATTTGATTTTACTCTTAGGGACTTACCTCTTGGAGCCCTATATCCTCCAATTTGAATGATCAAATTTAATTGATACCAAGATCCAGATTCTTTTTAACATTTCTGAAGCCAGAAAATTTATGTTTTAGAATAATTTTTAGTGGTTTTCCTTCTTAGTATCATATAAAATAATTGTACTGCTTCGAACTAATGGTGTTATGTATTTGATGGAATACAGCAGTTGCGTTTTCGGTCTGGTGCAGAGCTGTTACCCAGCATATCATTAGTGCCACAAAGTCCCTCACTGGACAGAAATGTGAGGTGCCCTTTTGTGCTCAGTCACGGGCTGGAGGCTGCGCAGAACCAAGGTGAACCCTGAAGACTGCAGCAGAGGCTGTGAGTTAACTGCACTCTTGGCAGCTGAATGACAAGCTTAGTCCTGAAGGGAAATCCAAGTGAGACCTCTACAGCTACCACTTGGCTGTTTGCCATGGGGGAGGGAGTCTTGGGGTTCATCAGCTCCTTGTACAAACTTTAGACCAAATCACTTGCTTTTCGTCCAGTGCCTTACTCTCCCCACTCCCCTGAGCCCACCTTCCATAGATGCGCCTGGTGCTGAGCTTCTCAGGGCTTCTGGGAGGGCAAGTAGATGCCATTCTGGAGATGCCATTTGAATTGTGTCTTAAAGGATGGATCAGGGTTAGTCGAGGAAACAGGATGATTCCAGGCAGAGGGAGTAGCAGAGTGAAAACACCAGTTGTAAATAATACTGTGTGTTCAGTGTACTCCAGGTCATCATTATTACTCTAGCACAGTCTTTCTCACTATGTGTCCCCAGTCCATTAGGGAGTGGAAATAAAAACTATAATGAGATACCACTTCACACTCATTAGGATGACTATCATTAAAAAAAGTAGAAAATAAGTGATGGTAAGGATGTGGAGAAATTGAAACCCTCACGCATTTCTGGTAGGAATGCAAAATGATGCAGCCACTGTGGCAAGCAGTATGGTGGGTCCTCCGAAAGCTAAACAGAATTACCATATGATCCGGCAATTCCACTTCTATATAGATACATACCCCCAAAGAATTGAAAGCAGGATCTGAAGCAGATACTTGTACAGCAATGTTCATAGCAGCATTATTCATAATAGCCAGAAGGTGGCAACAACCCAAATGTACATGTACAGATAGATTAATAAGATGAGGTATATACACACAATGGAATGGTATGATTCCACTTGTATGCGGTTCCTAGAGTAGGGAAATTCATAGACACAGAAAGTAGAATAGAGGTTTACCAGGGGGTGCAGGGAGGGGTGAGGGGGAGTTACTGCTTAATGAGTATAGCTTAGGATGATGAAAAAATTCTGAAAGTGATAATGGTGATAGTTGCACAACATTGTGAATGTATGTAATGCCACTGAATAGTACACTTTTTTTTTTAGTTAACATGGTAAGTTTTTTGTTATGTATATTTTTTCACAATAACTTTTAAAAATGTGTCCCCAGACCAACAGCACTGGCATCAGTTAGAAATGCAAATTCCTGGACCCCACCCCAGACTTACAGAATCAGAAACTCTGTGGGTAGGGCCCAAGGATTCTGATGCACCCTCAAGCTTGAGAACCACTGCTCTATAACATCAGACTGGGAGATTAGGCTAAAGAGGAATGTGGTAGCCAGGTCCTGGAGGGCCTTGTCTACCGTGAAAAAAAATGCTTGGACTTCATCCTGCCAGGAGAGAGCTACCTCAAGATTTTACAGAAGAAATTGATATTGGTAGATTTGTGGGTTTTACCTATTTCCCGATTTCAATAATAATATGTGCTCATTGAAGAAAGCCTAGAAAACTAAATCAATAAAAAAAAGAAAATCACCTATGATCTACCACTGGAAGATAACCCCTATGAATATTTAGATGGATGTTCTTCGTTTTGTTTCTTGGAGGATATACATACATTTTCAAAAATCCAATTGTGGGATCATAATGGGCATACTGTTTTAAAGTCTGCTTTTTTTCACTAAGCAATATGTCATGAATGCTTTTAAAAGTTATGAGATCTTTTGTCATTTTTATTGACTGCAGAATTACGCTTTTGATAGCTTATTCTGGTAACGGTATGGAAGATGAATTTAAGGAAGGCACGAATGAGCTCTTGCAGGGATCCAAGTTCTGAAGCTGTTGCAGTCGATCAGATTGTAACAATAAGGCCTAAAGCAAAGCACTGCAAAAAGGGGTAGTGTCGGGGACAGCTGTGAGAACTCTTTAGATTAAAGAACTTGATTGATTATACATAGTAGGTGCACTTTCTTGACTTGGATGATATTTTAAGGTTTTAAATGTTGCATTGGAAAGAGTAGAGAATGGTAAATTACATTTGGGAGATATTGAGCTTTAGCAATCTATGGGATACCCAAGGGAGACATCTAACAAACAGTCAAACATATGCGTCTGAAGCTCAAATTGGTGGGCATGGCTCAAAATCTTTAGATACATATGTAGGACTTAAATATGGCTATTAAATAAAGGCTATTAAAACCCTGAGAGTGGATTGAAATCTCCCCGAGATCACCCAAAATGACAAGGTTGATGGTAGGTGTCATGATTCACAGACAGGCCATGAGAAACGCCAAGGTTTAAGTTTCAGGAAGAGGAGCCAGGGGGAAGATTAAGACGGAATGATTAAAAAAAGAAATGGTCAGAGGAGTGCAAGAGAACTACAGGAGAAAATAATACCACGGCAGCCAAAGGGATAGACATTCAGCAACAAGCAGTGGCCCGCTGAAGCTCAGTAAGGTAAAGACTTTAAAAGCAGCTGTTGGTTTTGGCAATATACAAGCAAGAGTCATATTAGTGGAGTGTAGGGGAGAAAGTGAGCACCTGGATAATAAAGATTGAATAGTGATTCGGAATCTAGATATGGAGTGTGGCCAAAAAGGACCACACACTAAACCTGACAAGCTCAGGGGAGGCCTGCATGGTGGGCCTTACAAGCTCAGAGGCTGAAATTAACCACATAGGATGGTCTGAACATGAAACTTCCTAACTAAAAGTGGGTCATGGC